TGGGGGTGCTGTGCCTGGGCGTACTGAGTCTGCGGGTGCTGCTGGAGACGCTGAGGCATCTGGTGAGCAGTCTCCCTGGAGCGGCCATCTGCGTAGTCGCTCCACTGGTGCCTCACTGCTGCGCTCTCGTCGTCAACTCCCTCTCTCCCCACAGCAGCTGAGTGAGTGGTACGCTAGCCGTCTGGGTAGCGCTGCTGGAGCTAGGGGCCTTGCTGCGGGAGGCGCTGGTGCTGGTGACTCTACTACTGGAGTTGTTTCTGCTGGAGGTTCTGGAGCCGCTGAGGGTGCTGGAGCTGGAGGTTCGGGAGCTGCTGCGGGTGCTGGCGCTGGAGGTTCTTGAGCTACTGCGGGTGCTGACGCTGAGGGTTCTAAGTCTGCTGTTGCGCGGTCTCCTTGGAGTAGCCGCCTTCGTCCGCGTGTGCCTCTCACCTCACAGCAGCTGCACGACTGGTACGGTCGCCGTCAGGGTCGTGCTTCTGGAGCTTGGGGCTCTGCCGCTGGAGGTACTTCTGCTGACGTCGCTGGAGCTGGGAGTGGTGCTGGTCCCGGAGGTGCTCGTACTGGAAGTACTGGAGCTGCTGGGGCTAGAGGTGCTGAGCCTGGGGGTGCTGCTGCTGGTGGAGCTGGTCCTGAAGGAGCTGGCGCTGAGGGTTCTGGAGCTGCTGGAGGTGCTGGAGCTGCTGGGGGTGCTGGAGCTGCTGGTGCTGGTGGCACTGCACAGCCCCGCCTGTTCCTTGCTCCACCGTCTTCGTCGTCTCAGCCACCGTCTGCCTCTGTGCGTCGCCAGGTTCTTAGTCTCCCTTCGTCTACTGGTCTTCCGTTACAGCCTGGCTCACCGCTGCCTGCTCCTTCTTCTTACACTGAGCACACGGGGGGTCTTACTGAGCGTCGTGAGCCTGCGTCGCGTCCTGTCTCGCCTGTCCGTCCTGGTCGTTCCGGTAGTCGTGTTCCTCGTTCGCGTCAGCCGGCTGTCACCGGCACCCACCTCGTAGTCCGTCGTCCTTCCTCTCCTCCACAGCGTGTTCCCCTGCCGTACCCTCCTGCGTCTTCTCTGCCTACCGTTCCTGAGCCTGAGTCTGACCGCACCCGTGCTGCTCACCCTACTGTCACGCGCCTGCTCGCCACAGTTGTCACTGACCCGTCGTTTGAGTCTGCTGCTGCGTCTGCCTTAGTCGCTGAGCTTGTTGACTTTGCTGCTGCCTGTCGTCTAGACTACGCCGCTGGTCTGGTTGCTGAGTCTGAGACTGTCTATCCTCCGTCCGTCGGGGGTGAGTGTGCTCTTGGCACGGACGTCCTTGAGGACAGGCAGGAGGACCTTGAGTGTCTTGCAGCCGCTGCGCCTCATCTCGTGTCCATGCTGCTTGCCCCTGAGGGAGACCCGGATGCTCCAGACATCCCGACCCTGCGCTCTTACGCTGAGGCGATCGCGGGTGAGTACTCCTCTCAGTGGCAGACAGCCATGGACGCAGAGATGGCATCCTGGAGGGAGTCGACTTCTTCCAGACCTTCTCCCCCACCCCGAAGATGACCACTCTTCGGGTACTGCTGCACGTTGCCGCTCAGCGTGACTACGAGCTTCACTCTCTTGACTTCAGCACAGCCTTCTTACAGGGTAGCCTGCACGAGAAGATCTGGCTGCGCCGCCCACTTGGCTTCACTGGGTCGTTCCCTCCTGGTACCCAGTGGAGCCTCCGGCGGCCAGTCTACGGTCTCCGCCAGGTGCCGCGTGAGTGGCAAGACACATTGAGGATGACACTTGCGGCTCTTGGGTTTGCTCCGTCGATTGCTGACCCGTCGCTGTTTCTGCGCACCGACACTTCGCTGCCGCCGTTCTACATCCTCGTGTACGTCGACGATTGGTCTTTGCCACTGCTGACACTGAGGCTCTCGCTCTGGTGAAGTCGGAGCTGCAGAACAGACACACGTGCACAGACCTGGGTGAGCTGCGCAGCTACCTTGGCTTGCAGATCACCCGGGACAGAGCACGCCGCACCATCACACTGACTCAGTCACACATGGTGCAGCAGGTCCTTCAGCGCTTCAACTTCACCTGGTCCTCGGCACAGGCCACTCCTCTGGCGACAGGTCACTCGCTCTCAGCTCCACCTTCAATCGAGTCCGTAGAGCCGAGTGGTCCTTACCCAGAGCTAGTGGGCTGCCTCATGTACCTGATGACCTGCACTCGTCCTGACCTTGCGTACCCTCTTGGCCTTCTGGCTCGCTACGTGGCTCCTGGTCGGCACCGAAAGGTGCACATGGATGCTGCTAAGAGGGTACTACGCTACTTGTGCAGTACATCGGGCATGGGGCTCGTGCTTGGAGGACGGAGCGACGTTGTCCTCACTGGGCACTCAGACGCTTCTTGGGTTGACGACCAGGCTACGCAGCGGTCGTCACAGGGTTACACCTTCAGCCTTGGCTCTGGTTCAGTTTCTTGGCGTTCTACACGCTTGTCTTCAGTTCTCAGCTCCAGGAGTGAGGCTGAGATCTACGCCACAGCCATGGCTGCACAGGAGTTACGCTGGCTTACCTACCTGCTGACCGACCTGGAAGAGCGGCCTCGTTCTCCTCCAGTGCTGTACGTTGACAACAAGGCCGCCATTGCCTTGTGTCAGGAGCACAGACTGGAGCACAGAACGAAGCACATCACTCTGCGTTACTTCCTGGCTCGAGAGTTGCAGCAGCGTGGTCAGCTTCGTCTTGCTCACGTGGCCACTCGGGCCAACACTGCTGATATATTCACCAAGGCACTTCCGTCTGGTGATCATCAGCGTTTCTGCACTTTGTTAGGCCTTGTGCCCACTTTTCCTCACTTGCTGTAGACTTTGCTTGTACTGTGATCTATATACATATATACCTGCATGCTTGTTCTGCTTGGTAGAGATCACTGTACTGATGTTGTTGCATATATACCTCTGCATGTGAACTGGCCTTGTGGCCCTTTGCTTGTGCTCAGTGTGTGTGGTGACGTTGTGATCCACCCTGAGCTTGCTTTGCTTCTCTTGACTGGTCTTGTGACCCCTTGCTCTCCCCCACTTTGCCTATGGGGGTGTGTCAAAGTATATATATGCTATATATGTTTAGGCTGTAGTGGGGTAGCCAATATGGGGTACAGCCCCTTTTAGGGTTTCATACTTGTACCCAACCCTTTCATAGTTAATTCATTCCTGCTAGATTCTGACATGGGATAGTCGTCAGCCTTCACTGTCGCGGCGTTTACCGCCAAACCTGAGTCAGCTGTTCTCACTAGCGCTACTAACACCGTTACTCCACTTATCGCGAAACCCTGAATCGGAAACGGGATGGCGCCTGCTGCTGTTTCTCCCACGCCTGACACTTCGCCGAACCTCGCAACAGCGACCGAACTGGCCGAATGTCAAGGCCCGGCTCCAAGCCTTCCAGCGTGGCGAATGGGAGCTGTTGTACCGGGACGCGTTGGATGCAGTCAACACACCGCCACCGCCACGACACCAGCCAGATGTGACTGGACTCATCAGCCGTGCGGAGGGCCTGGCGAAACGTGGCAGCCTACGCCGAGCCGTGCTGGCCCTGGAGTCAACGCCCGTCTGCACTCCCAGCCCGGAAATATTGGAGGAGCTGCGCCAAAAGAACCCACCTATTGCACACGAGGCAGTGACATGGCCTATGCCACAGGGGTCAAAGCTGTCAATCCCCCACCCTGACTTCACCAAAATTTTGGGAAGATGCGAGAATGGGGTGGGAGCCAGACCGTCGGGCATGACATTCGAGCAGCTGCGAGACGCGGCGATTACCAACGCAATGTTCAGCACCCATTTGCACGCCTTGGTTAACACCATGCTGGGAGGAAACTTGCTAGGCTCGGTCGCAAATCTTCTGACGACGTCACGACTCATAGCCCTCGCCAAGCAGGGGGGAGGGGCTAGACCAATCGCGATTGGCGAATGTGTGACAAGGCTGGCAGCCAAGGCTGCCCTGCCAGCCATGGGAGAAGCGGCCCGCGAACTTTTTCTACCGCTACAGTATGAGGTGGCAGTGCCAGGTGGAGCAGAGGCAGTAATCCACGCAGCCAGGGCCTTCTTGGATGCCCGCCCGAACAGCTTGGTCCTACAAGCCGACATTTCAAACGCGTTCAACAGCATTTTGCGAGAAGCTATCGCCACCGCGTTACAAGAGCCCGCCCTCTCGCCACTACTGCCGCCAGTGAAGCTGACGTACGGTAACCCGTCGCAACTGCTCCTGGACTCCAACTTCAACTGCGAACCACTAAAAAGTGAACGCGGCGTCCGCCAAGGTGACCCATTTGGCCCACTTCTGTTCGCAGCAGGGATACACGCCACACTTCGCGAAACAGCAAAAGCACACCCTGACGTGCTTTGCTTGGCGTATGCGGACGACGTCACTTTCCTGGGTGACACAGCACACACTGTAGCGGCATTTACACAACACACAAGTTGGCGCACCTGGGCCTGGAGCATAATCCACAGAAGTGTGCAGCCTGGAGCTCAAGCGCAGTCGAGCCAGCTCGCCTCCCGCCAGGAGTGCCGTTCTCTAAAGACGGCGTGCGGCTCTTGGGTAGCTTCATGGGGCCCGATAGCGGCGCAGCTAAGTTCCTAGCGGGACAACTCGACGAGATGACAAAGCCATTATCCCTTCTCACTGACCCCCGCCTCCCGAATCAACTGCTCCGCTGCGGCACAGGCAAGCACCGTACAAACACACATAATGAGCTGCGGGATGCCTGCATTAGCATGGCGCAAGACGCGGGGTTTATAGTACACAGGGAGTCGGCCGCCTACTGCCCTATCGAGGAACAGGAAGGGCTGTGCATTAGCCCTCTGCCCTCTCCTATCCTAGCTATATAAGGAGCCTCCTTGGCCTCTTCATCTCATTGTTCAGTTTGGTGGGACGGCGCTAGGGACGGCAAGGGAGAAGCAAACGAGCGACTATAAGCAAGACATACAACCAATGACGACAACTACTACTGCCTGAGACAACCATGGTTCAAGCCGCGGGCGATGCTACATGCAATCCGCCTGCAGGGCATGCAGAATGCCCATCATCGTCTGCCACACCGAGCGGACCACCTGAATGGCGGCGCCAATCGCGTCGGCAGCCGCGTCCAGTTGCCCCACAGCCCCAACGCCTCCCCGCACGGGCGCGGCCAACACAGGCGCCAGGAGGAGGGCAACCTGGTCGGCTGCGTCAAGACAGTCGCCCCGCGGGTCGTCAAGCAGAGATTCCGGAGGAACAGGCGGAAGAGACCCGTGCGCCAGCGACTGCACGAGCAGCAGCGGACGAAGGCTCTCCGAGAGCCGCCATAACTGACCAAGCGTCGCCTCCAGAACTTCAGCCCGTGGGGGAAGAAGCTCCTCCACCAGAGAGGGGAGCTGAAGTCGAGGAATTCCGGCCCCACCTCCATGCGCAGGGGCCGAGGAAGCCGGCAGCGATACCGCCGGTGTCGGAGCAACAGCAGGGCGAGCAGCCGGAAGGGGAGCAGATGGCGTTGGAGCTGCGCGCCTCGAGCTGCCATGACTCGCCGGGCCGGCCTCACTGCCGCGAAACGCCTCGCTCACAATCTGCCGCACGTCTGCGATTGTCGCTGGCGCGTCCTGCCACTCGCCATGCCCGCGACCGTGACCTCCCCTCTAGCCACCCCGGTGCGCATGCCAGGTCACCTGCGGCTGCCGTCGGTGAGGGGAATCACGCCGACGTCGAGACACATCCCGCTCTTCTTGAGGGGAGGGCGAATGGGGGGGGGGAGTTATGCTGCTGCACAGCCGGGGGATGAGCAGGCGCAGACGAGGGAGCCACGGGAAGCGGAGGGTCCGGCACCCCGCCAGGCAATCCAAGGGACGCAGCGGCAGACGCCACCGGTAACGCGATAGCAGCCTCAGGAGGTGGCGCCAGAACAAGCGCAGGAAGAGCTGCCTCACTAGACGCAGGCGCCATTACAGCAGCAGCAGCTGCCGCCACAGCAGGCGACGGCAACACCGGAACATGAGGCGCAGGAGAGGGCGCCACGTCAGGGGCAGGGGGAGACGCCACGACGGCCGCAGGCGACAGAACGAAGGTAGGGACCGGAATTGGGGGGGAATCAAACCCAGACGAACCCCCCACCACCGCACCATCAACACGCCAATTCTCGCCGGAACAGCTGGCAAAGGACACTATCCGCTTCAACGAAATTCGGGACCTGACACCACTACACGACAGTCGTCAGCCCCCCCTCTCCCGCAAAATACCGCACGACATCCGCACCAGCTTCGCAAACGCGCTACTGACACCCCTACTGCACCTCGCACGCCACCCTGACTCAGTACTGGTCTGGCGCCTGTTACCCTTTATTCCCCGCCTAATTATTCGCCAGGGAAGCCGGATTGGCCCGCAATGAAGTTGCGACTTCATCAGTTTTTCAAAGGCGAATGGGAGCAGCTGTATGAGGCAGCTGTGGCAGCGATCAACAACCCTCCAGCGCCACGTCACCAGCCGGATGAGTTGGGAAAGCGCGCCAGAGCAGAGGGACTTGTTCGAAAGGGCAGCCTTCGGCGGGCTATCCTGGCCCTCGAATCTACACACGTGGCAGATCCAACGCCCGAAACCCTGGATTCACTCAAAGCAAAGCACCCACCTGCACCACATGGCCACATCGACTAGACCCCACCTGAAAAGCCGCACGTGGCAACCATCACCTCAGCTGCATTCGCGAAAATCCTATGCCGCTGCGAAAACGGAGTAGGGGGAGGGCCGTCTGGGATGACGTTCGAACACCTCAGGGATGCAGCTATCGTCAACGCAGCTGTTACCACCCACCTCCACGCTCTCATTAGCACCGTCCTCCAGGGGCTACTCCCAGTGGAAATCTGCTCGCTACTCACAGCCTCTCGCCTCATCGCCCTCGCCAAGCCAGAAAGAGGCACTCGCCCCATAGCAGTAGGAGAGTGTGTCCTACGCCTAGCGGCGAAATCGGCCCTTTCCTCTCTCGCCGATGAAGCTCGGGCCCATTTCCTCCCACTCCAATACTGCGTCGCCGTCCAAGGAGGTAGCGAAGCGATAATCCGCGCCGCCAGTTCGTACATGAGCACGCATAGTGATGCCACGATACTTTTGGCGGATCTCTCAAACGCCTTTAATAGCATCAGTCGCGAGGCAATCGTAGCAGGCCTACGCGGAAGTACGCTAGAAGGGATCCTCCCCCTAGTACACTCCTCTTACGGCGCGCCGTCTGAGCTATTTCTCGACGCAGGCTTTAATAGCCCTCCCATATCCAGCATTACAGGGGTCCACCAGGGCGATCCACTCGGGCCCTTGCTCTTCGCCGTGGGTATCCACCCGTCCCTCGCCGCGACCGCGGCCGCCTTCCCGACCGTACTCTGCCTCGCATGCGCTGACGATGTCACGTTCCTAGGGAAAGTGGCGGAGTGTACAGCGGCGTTGAATCACTTCACGTGCAGTCTCTGTAGCATGGCAGAGTGTACAGCGGCGTTCAATCACGTGGGGAAATGTGCGGCGTGGAGCGCAGTTCGACCACCGGAGGGGGCCTTGCCAGCTGGGGTCCCATTCTGCCCCGACGGGCTGCGTGTTTTGGGCAGTTTCATCGGCGTGTTGGATGGAGCAGCTGCCTTTATTCGAGCACAGCTGCAAGCCATGACAACCCCACTCCCGCAGATAGCCGACCTGGATCCGCAGACAGCGTCACTGTTGCTGACGAGGTGCATCTCGAGGCGAATGTCATACCTCGCGCGCACAACCCCACTCAGCCTTCTGCCTGAAGAAGAATGGTTACGGTGAGGCCAAGCGCTGCTCCACACACTGCTCGATGCCTGCGGCGTGCGTCATCCGAGGGGGGAAGCGGAGGGACGACGCGTGTGGGACCAGGCTTCCCTCCCCCCAAGCCTGGGAGGCCTGGGGCTGGCGAACCCAGCGGTTGAAGGGTGCTACAGCTACCTGGCAAGTTTCTTCCAAGCGCACGGACTCCTTGCCTCCCTGCCCGGCCCCACAGGGGCTCACCTCTCCACCGCCCTGAACTGGACAGAGGAGGTGGACCCGGACCCGAATCAACTGCAAGCCTGGCTCGGGAAGTGTAAGGCAAGCCTCACACAGGAGGGACGAGACCTGCTCGGCAGAAATGGCAGCGCCCAAGGGACAGCTGCAGCATCGCCTTGCCCTCCTGGTCCAGGGCGGACGCAGTGCCGCTCAAGTTGCAGCATCTCGGCGTATGGACCTGAACCCCCTATGCGGCCACACTCAGCGGCTCTTGTCCCTCACAGGCTACGGTGCAGGGGACTGGCTGATAGCCATCCCCTACATGCCCTCCCTTCGCCTCGATCCCAACCACTTCTCGTTCGCCCTCCAGTTCCGCCTAGGACTGCCTCTCCCCGTCCCCAGCAACTGCAACTGCACAGACAGAGTCGCCATAGCAGACAAGCGCCTCCCCAACCACCTCCTCCGCTGCGGCACAGGGCACGGACGGACCAACACACACAATGAGCTGCGGAACGAGTGTGTGTGTATGGCTCAGGACGCGGGGTTCATTGTGCACAAGGAGGGTACAGCGTTCATCCCGGTCGACAACAAAAAGGCCGACCTGGCTATTCAGGACAGAAGCAGTGGGGTGGTGTGGCTGGGGGACATAACCATCACCGACCCTATCAGCAAAAGGGACGAGACTGCCAGGAAGGGAAGGGGATGGCCAGCAAGGGAGTCAGCATATAAGAAAATAGGGCTATATCACGGCAGGGCTGAATTTGCAGGCTTTTACCCTCTGGCAGTCGAGACCTATGGCTGCCCACGCGACGAGGTACAGGCTTTCCTAGAGTACCTGGCAGACAGAGCAGCACGCTTGCACTTCAACGCAGACCCCTCAACCTTCCAGGTCGCAAAGCTGCTGCACCAGTTCCGCCAGTGGTGGTCTGTCGCCTTGCAAAGGGCACAGGCCGCTTCCTCATCAAGCTGAACCTTGCAGCTCAGAAGGAGAACCCTGCCTTAGGAGGCCCCGAGGGGGTCCTAGACCCAGGGTAGTGCTTTGCTACCCTAGAACCGGGCAATGGTAGTGAGTAGAGGACTTGGGGGGGGGGGGGGGGGGAAGGGTAGGGAAAAGAATAGTTAGACATACCAGTTTGTTGCTTGCTTGCTTGCCTTTGCTATTTTTCTCATTTCTATATCAATACAATGGACCGTTCGAGAGGAAGGATGGCCTTAGGCCTCGTCCTTAGCCGTTTTGAGCCCTCTCTAGTGTAGAGTCCAGTCCTTAGCCGTTTTTTAGTCTAGTTTCCTAGTATAAAGTCCTTAGATGCCCCCTTTTGAGCTCATTCTTCACTGGTGAGTTCAGTTCACTCTCCACAACCCAGCGGGAGAGAGAACGGGAGAGAGAGAGAGGATCCCTCAGTCCCTTAGCCTCTCAGCCTCTCCTAGTTTTAGTATAAGAGGCTTAGTGCCTCGGTTTGGAGTTCATTCTTCAGCAGTGGGTTCATTTCTCCCAACCCAGCGGCTCGCGCGTGAGGGGATGGCAAGTAACAGCACACAGAGTTGTCTATATTCAAAGGCATTACACGCATGGCAAATCCTACCGCGGCCTAGCCGCGCAAAGCACTAATGGGGCACGCGGAGCCCGCGTCTACATGCGGTGAGCTCCAAGTGCGTGAAGAACGCCCGTCAACGTCCGCCACAGCTCCCGGACCACAAGCGTGCTTGCGCCGATCGCGGCGGCTCCAGAACCTGCGCGCAAGTGTCGCCTCAAGCCCCGGACAGCTTCGTCAAGCTCTCCCGCAGCCGCAACGCCACCCTCTGAGGGCGCAGCCAGCACGGGCGCCAGCAGCAGCGCGAGCTGATCTGCCGCATCCAAGCAAACACGCGGACGGTCATGGAACGATTCGGAGGGAATTGCAGGGAGCGACATGTGAGCCAGCACCTGAATCAGCAGCAACGTGTGAAGGATGTCAGCAAGGCGGAAGAGCTCGCCTAGCGTCGCCTCTAAAACACGGGCCTGCGGAGGCTGAAGCGCCTCCGCCAAGAACAGAAGCGGCTCATCGGCAGCAAGAGATGCTGAACTTCCTGCGACGAGAGGAGGGTACTGCGCCCTCGCCGCTCCCCCTCCCGCAGCAACAAACTCAACACCCGCCACTGGCGGAACCGGCGGCAGACGAAGATGAGACCCAGGAGCAAGAGCCAAGGAAGCAAGAGCAGGAGCCGATGTGGAAGGAACAGGGGGGTGGAGAGTAGCGGGTGGCGGCGGATTCACGGGAGGCACAGCCTGACGAGGAGTTACATACGCCGGCGCGGCCCGCATCGAACTGCTGTGACTCTGCACCGCCCGTTCCTCTCGCATCGCATTGGACACGAACCGCTGCAGATCAGCCATCCTCACGGGCGGATCATACGCAACACCACCACCGCCATCGCGGGAACCGCACCAGCCACCACGACCACCGTGATAAGCAGGCCGATACGATTGCTGGCGGGGATGCCGAGGAGACTCACGTCGGCGCCGCGACGACTCCCGCTCCTGGCGTGGTGCGGGAGAATGTGGGCGAGACGAGCGGCGATCCGGCGACTTTGAACGAATCTGCTGTCCGCCCGGGACTGTCGGCGGAACGGCAGGCACAGACGGATCCGCCACCAAGGGCGCCTCAACCAGTGCCTGGTTGCCAGTGGTGGTGGACGCCACCTGCGGTGACAAAGCAACGACCGGAGACGGCAGAGCGGGGACAGCAGCGGGCGGCGGAACGGGTGCGTTAGGGACGGGAACAATCTCAGCTGGGACGAACACCGGGGGCTCAACAGGAGGAGCCAGAGGAACGGCAGCAGCAGCCGGAGCAGACGGAGCAGCAACATGAGCAGCAACAGGCGCAGACTGGACAGGCGCAGTCACGGCAGCAGGAGCCTCGGGTCTGAGGGGAGGAGGCATTCCAGCGACTGTTGTCACGGGCTTTGGAGCCGGTAGCACAGGGGGCTTCATCACCGTGGTCACCTTTTCGCGCTCAGCCTAAGGTTTGGCGACCACAGCCGACGCCGCGACAGCGCGCACTGGCGATAGGTCAGGCCCTCCAGCAATCACCATCCCGAGCAACAGGTGGTCATCGTGTCGGTCGGCAGGCAGCGAGCGGAGTAGGCGGAAGTCCGGAGAATGGGTTTTAGGCGGCTGGACGTAGGGCTTTAACCGAGCTAGAGGAGACTAATGAAACAGAAGAAATTTGGACCCTACTTATAGGGAGGATTTAGTTCCTGCCGAGGAAAGGGACAGCGAGGAGGATAGCGAAGGGAATCAAGACACCGCTGGAAGAGAGAGAATGGAGAGGGAGGTTGGGCATGGTGCCTCACGAGTGCACGGAGAAAAAGGAGGGCCGACCGATGGCGAACGTACGGCTACAATTCCAACCCCACCTCGCACTGCGAGGCCGAGCCACACCCGGAGAATTCGTCCCGCCCTCGACGAATCAGCGGTACGACAGAACCCACAAAACCCCCGCTACTTTTCGCTAGAGGAGCTGGCGAGGCGAGCAGACAAGTTTGCTGGAATCGCGAACTGGGACATTGCAGCGCTCTGCGACAGCCGGCAGCCAACTCTGTCACGACGTTTATCGCCAAACCTGTGTCAGCTGTTCTCGCTGGCGCTGTTAAACCCACTCCTTCACCTTTCGCGAAACCCTGACTCTAAAGCAGGATGGCGCCTGCTCCTTTTTCTCCCGCGTCTCACACTTCGCCAAACCTCGCCGAAACGACCAAACTGGCCCCAGGTCAAGGCTCGGCTCCGCTCGTTCCAGCGTGGCGAATAGGAGCAGCTGTACACCGAGGCTGTGGACACAGTCAACACCCCTCCCCCGTTGCGTCATCAGCCTGATGAGACCGGCGTGATCAACCGAGCCGAAGGCTTAGCGAAACGAGGCAGCCTGCGATGGGCTGTGCTGGCATTGGAGTCAACACCGGTCTGTACACCCAGTCCAGCAATCCTGAGCGAACTTTCGCCAAAAACATCCGCCAGCTGGACCCGAGGCGCTGACTTGGCCGGCCACGCAAGCGTCGTGTCTGACCATCCCCCACGCGGAATTCGTCAAACTCTTGGGCAAATGCGAAAACGCGGTAGGGGCTGGACCGTCTGGCACAACCTTCGAGCACTTGCGCGACGCGGCAGTAACTAATGCATCGGTCAGCACCCACCTGCACGCCTTGAAAAACACTGTGCTGACCGGGAAATTACCGCCAGCAATGGCTGACCTGTTGACTTCCTCGCGCCTCATCGCCCTGTCCAAGCCGGGAGGAGGGACACGACCAATAGCAATCGACGAATGTCTGACTCGACTGGCATCAAAAGCAGCCCTAACAATCATGGGTGAGGCTGCACGTGAATACTTTCTGCCACTACAGTACGGGGTGGCTGTGCCAGGTGGAGCTGAGGCAATCATTCATGCTACCCGGGCCTTCCTGGACGCATGCCCAAATAGCGTCATACTGCAGATGGGCATTTCGAACGCATTCAACAGCATCTCGCGCCAGGCAATCGCAAACGCGTTACACGACCCCAACCTTTCGCCACTGCTCCCGCTAGTCAAATTGACCTACGGTAACCCGTCGCAGCTCCATTTGGATGCACGGTTGGACTGCGAACCCCTGAAAAGCGAACGAGGAGTTCGGCAAGGGGACCCCCTCGGCCCCTTGCTCTTTACCGCCGGAATACACCCTGCATTACGCGAAACCGCTACTGCACACCCACAAGTCCTATGCCTCGCCTACGCTGACGATCACATTCATGGGAAAAACCAACACTACCGTAGCTGCTTTCACCCATTTCACTGACAGCCTCACACGCATCGGGCTCACGCATAACCTTGGGAAATGTGCAGCGTGGCACCAAAACTCAGAATGCACGCCTACACTTCCGCCAGGAGTGCCGTTCAGGGCGGAAGGGGTCCGCCTCCTTGGAAGCTACTTGGGACCCCCTGCCAGCACCGCCAAATTCCTGGCGGCATAGCTAGAGGATATGGCGAAACCACTGCCACTCCTACAGCGTACGGATCCCCAGGTGGCTTCTCTCTTACTGACCCACTGCATCTCCCGTCGCGCGGCATATCTCACCCGAACAACACCCATCAACCTGCTGGAACGGGACAAATGGTCCCTGTGGGGCAAGGATCTCTTACCGCATGCGGTATCCGTATCCCCTCTAGTAGCTCAGAGTTGGATCGTGTGTGGGCACAAGTGTCTCTCCGCCGTCACTCGGCGGGATTGGCCTCACAGACCGACCGTAGAAGGCGTCCACGGGTTCCCCGCTAGTTACTGCCAAGCCGCGCTTTTCATAGATTCACTGGCACCTGAAGGAGACGACATTCTTTTAATGGTCAGAAACCACATGCTGCTGCCACGCAATGTCAACACGCCTCTCCACGCGTGGCTCTCCGAATGTGAACTGTCTCTGCCCACCGACGGACGTGAGGTGCTAAAGAAGGAACGTCTAGAGCCGAAGGGTATTCGGCTGCAGCATGCCCTGGCACTCAAGGTACAAGGAAGCAGATACGCGGTCCAAGTAAGGGAAACCCGCTTATTCGGGGACCCATCAATTGACAGTACGCGCGGAGTCCGCCAGGGAGACCCGCTCGGCCCAATGTTGTTCGCGATGGCCGTCCAACCGGCACTTCTGACAGCGGCAAAAGCGGTCCCATCGGTAACAATAATGGCCTACGCCGATGACATCACAATCGTGGGGGAGGCGGCAGGGGCGATTAAGGCACTCGACATGATCTGTGGGGAGCTACATGGTCACGGCCTGAGATGTAACCTCACCAAATCATCTGCGTGGAGCTTCTCGGGGAGCCCGGATACCTTGCCAGAGGGACTGGTAGCAGCGGTGGACGGTATAAGAGTCCTAGGGAGCCCAGTGGGCACGATGGCGTTCTGCAGGCGGTTTATCAGGGGCGCGCTAGGGACCATGTCTGCACCACTCGGCCTCATCGGCCGCCTTCACCCACAACACGCTATGCTGCTGCTATCACGGTGCATCTCCCGCCGGGCGTCCTATCTCCTGCGTACCACACCTGCAGACGCGCTACCACTCGGAGAATGGAGAGAGTGGAGTGAGCGGCTACTTTGGACAGCCCTCAAGGCGGCCCACCTACACACGCCAACAAAGGAGCTCGAGCAAAGCCTGGTATGGAGACAGGCGACTCTGCCGGTTGCGCTGGGAGGTTTAGGGCTCATTAACCCATTGTCGGAGGCACCTGCGGCATACCTGGCCTCGCTAAATGCAGCCCAGACCCGCCTGCAAGCAGGTTACGGCCGCACCAGATCACCCGCTGCAGCGTGTAGGGGAGCTGGTCTCACCACAAGGGGAAGGGGCAGCAGTGGGCAGCAGAACTACGCTACAGGATATGCGGAACAGGCTTCCAGAGGCGGCATAGGAGCTGCTTAAGGGTTTCAGCTAGGAAAAGGGGGGGAAGGAGCAACTGCAGGAGCTCCTCTCCAAGCACATCAATCAGGACCGGGCAGCGGAACTATTGGGCGATACTCGGGTGGATAAACCGGCGGAGGATAACGGCCATGTGATCCGCTTGATCAGCCTGCAGGGAGTAGGGGCAGGGGATTGGCTACACGCCATCCCTACGAGAGGGGACCTGACGTTTTCGCCGGGCCAATATGCAATAGCCCTGGGTTTTCGCTTGGGGCTGACCCTGCCAGTGACAGACACGTGCCCGTGCCACGGTGAACGATCACAGATAAATGACCGGAGCCTCCCCAACCACCTGCTGAGGTGCGCGGAAGGAAAGGACAGGACAAACACGCATAATTCCCTGGTGTATGCGGCACTGCGAATGGCGCGCGAAGCGGATTACATGACTTTGCATGAGACCACCATCTACTCGCAACCCGTCAACCCTAAGCGAGCGGACTTGGCTATCAAAGACCGTGAGTCTGCTGAAACGTTCATCACAGCCGTCACCGTCACTGATCCGGTGCTGCAGCGGCGTGATTTAGGGGCCACCAGGGGACCGGGCTGGGCGGCAGAGGAGGCGGCAAGGACGAAAAGGGGGCTGTACGAGGGGTGCCCGGACTTTGTAGGGGTACACGACATGGAGGTAACGCCTATCCCCCCCAGCGATGGCGTCTGTAATGGTGTCGATAGGCATTACGGACGTGGAGGGGCGCCGCGGCTACACGAGCAGCAGGGAGGGGATAGGCATTACGGACGTGGAGGGGCGTCGCGGCTACACGAGCAGCAGCACGATGAGCTGGTGAGGTAGGAGGAAATAGCAGGACCTGTGGAGGTGGCGGCGGCCGATGCAGCTAAGGCTGGGGTAGCAGTAACTGATTTATCTGACGCTGCCGATGCTGCTGGACCCGGGGCTGTGCTGCTTGTGGAGACTGAGGCAGCTGCTGCGGCGGTTGCTGCGGTGGAGGAGTCGGAGACGGCGCGGTTGGCGACACCACCGGCTGGGACAGCGGAAGAAGCGTCTCCTGCTGGGACTGCAGCCGCCTCTGACGGCGGCTTAAATCCTCCCTCCACCGCGTGCCCGACTGCAACACCGCTTCCATTAGACCAGGGTCTGGCCGCGGAGGAGGCACTAGGGTTTGCTGAATCCCCGCCACCGAAAGCGGAGGCTAAGATTCCTGCGGTCATGGCTGAGGCGGTGAGGCGACAGGAGGGATCCCCGGACAGTGGGACAGTGCAGACCGCCGCTGTGTCCGCACGAACGTCTGCTGTTGCCGCGAACGTAGACATGCAGGGGCACGACCAGCTGGTGGGCAGTAGACCGGGTTGCGGGAGCAGCGAGACTGTCCACGCCGCTCGCGGGAAGGCGGGGAAGAAGTTTCGAGCCCAGCCAGCGCCAAGACGGCCCGGAGCAGGGCTGGGACCTGGCGCCCCGGGACCCCTCCTGGGCTGGCTTCTGCAAGGGCAACCGCCACGAGCGCCAGGGCGGCACTCGTCATCTCGGGAAGAGGCGCCCGCACCACCACCAATAGAGCAGACGAAGCCACAAACGGCACCAACCCAGACAGCTGCGGCAGCACAGGAGATGCCGGCACCAGCGGTTGCGGCAGTACTAGGCGCGGGGACATTAGCAACACCGGGACGAGACGCTCCGCTCGTCTTGGTTCGATAACCTGGGGACCGCCACGCGGCGGTCGTGTTCCGTGGATGCCCGCAGGACGCGGAGGGATTGGGGCGTGTGGTAACACAGAGGGCGCGGCAACGGCAAACACGAGAGCCACGGGGCAGGGACAACGTGGGGCGCGCGGAGGGTTCAGAGGGGGCAGGGGGGGGCGCAACCCGCTAGGCAGAACGGATATCCCTGTGAGATCCGGCCCTTGGCGGGACGGAGATATCAAGATATCACGGAGCAGGAGCTAGCGAAATGGGGGCCCATAGACCTGGTAGTAGCCGGCTGGGAATGCCTGGGCTACTCGCGAGCCGGGGAAGGGAGGGGGGTGGCGGATACCAGAGGAGCTTAGTTCCGTGATCTAGAGAGGGTGTTGCAGATACTGCAGCAAACGGACAGGGAGTTCATCTTCGTGCTGGAGAATGTTGACATGGTTGATGACCGGAGGGAGCCGGTGAGGCAAGCGTTTGAAGAAATTCAGTCAGTGCTGGGAAGGGGTGTGCCGACCGATGCAGCCCAACTAGGCTCGAGAGCACACCGGCCGAGGAGATACTGGCAGAATGGGGTTTCAGAAGAGGGTGTTGCACCACTCGCTGGCGTAGATGCAGAGGCCCCATCCTCGCTTAGTAAAGGATATACTCGGCCTGTTATAGACCAAGGACGGAGTCTACGAAGATTAGGTGCCTAAATTTCTCAAAATCGTTGGCTTAGAATCTGGACAGAAACGTCGCGCTCACAAGAAACGCCGTCCACAAAATATTTACTGTCAAAACTTCACCAAACTTAGATATGTTGTAGCTCTGGTCCGTGGCTACAATTCCCAATTTGAATCGTACGATAAGGTGAAGTATTTCTTGAGTTATGAAGTTCGGCGCACTAGGGGGTATGCTGCCACAGAAAACTTAACTCAATCACAAGAATCTCACAATTTCACACAAGAAAGTTAGAGTAGCAATTAACCAGGTGGGAGGGGAGAGGAGGACGAGAGGGAAGGTCCCAAGAGAGTCCCCAACCAAGGAAACCCTATGCCACACAAATCCCCTCTCTATAGGTACCCAACTTGCACCCTTGTCATTTTCCCAACCTCCATAATCCACCTCATCCCAACTTGGCCACACTTGCCAACCTGGTTTGGCATCTCCCAACCACTTGGCAGCATCTACAGTGATGGGGACGAATTTCCCAACCCCCAAAAGTCTGTACCCCATATTGAGTCACACCACAAGTTCCCAGAGTTGTCGCATCACAAACAAAACTTCGAACGATCGTAACTTTGTCGTTCTTGCTACGATCGCAACGATTCTTGGTTCGTCGGAAAGCTCTTGGGTAGAGGAGTCGCTTCACATATCTGCTCAAGCCAAATAACATTCACACACACTCTGAAAATCCAAACCACACCAAACACAAATTCTTGCACACGCTCACACCACGCATGCAACGCACGAACATATGATGGGAGGCAGACAGACGTGAATGCAAATGATGGCATCACATAACAAACTCCCCCGCTGCCTGCCATCATCCCACATGCCATAGATCAAGCATGCACCCTCAATGCACACTCATTCCAGCAAGCTTTATGCCCTTCCAATGCTCAGATTCAGCCAGGCGCTTGGTGAGAATGTCAGCCGCCTGCTGATGGGTATTCACAATCTCCAGACGCACCTCCTTGTCCAGGAGCCTCCTCACCCAGTGCCACTTGGGCCTGATGTGCTTCGTTAGCCCATGAAGGCAAGCATTCTTTGCTAACTTCACAGCCGACTCATTATCACAGAAAATCACAGTCGGCTCCCTCTGACCAACACCGATCTCCTCCAACAAACGCCTCAGCCACACCACCTCCTTAGCCCCATGATGCAGGGCCGTGTACTCTGTCTCACACGAGGACAGCCCCACCTCGTTCTGCTTCTTGATGCGCCAGCTCACTGCACCACCTCCAAACAGGCACACATAGCCTCCAATGCTGGTGCCATCCGCCTTCACAGAGTTGAAGCTAGCGTCAGTGTAGCAGGTCAGGAGCATCTCCCCCTTGCTCAAATCAGAAGCACCCCAGTTCTTCACAAGAGTGACATGCCGCAGTGCAGTCACCCAAAACGGATCCGGCGGCCCTGCACGCCCAAGAAGAGTGCGAGATGATGGGCAGCTGCCATAGGTCCCTGATGCAGCTGCTCTTCTGCTCCAAATCCCACAGCAGCAACTTCCCAAGCTTTGCACGGCAGCTGGTTGGGCCGAATGTAACTTTGGCCTTACTTTTCTGCAGCCGGCGCACAGAGAGGAGGTTAGCGGATAAACCTTCAACTAACAGGACATTCCCAAGCCCCACAAGCTCCCCCTTGGCTCCCATCACCTTGGCATTCCCAAAACCAATCACAGGGAGCAAGGCACCTGAAGCGGCAGCCACAAATTTGATCTTCCCAGGGGGCTTTACCTCGTCAAGCAAATCTGCCCGTGGGGTCATGTGACTTGTGCATCCTGAATCGATCACCCAGTGAGTGAGGGGGTGCATCACAACCTTCCCAACCTAACCCACATCATCCTCACTCTCTTTCACATCTTCAACCATGAGGAACATCCCAGGGTCAGCTTTACCTTGTGCACATTCACCTTGTGCACCTGAACCTTGTACAGCACCACGTCGTGCGCGTTCACCACTTGGCGGCTTCATGCCTGGAGGCGCCCATCCTTCAGGCCGGCTGAAACACTTGAACCATGGGTGTCCAGCCTTCTTGCAGTACCAGCACGCACCTTCCATTCGGGTGCTCCCCCTGCCACCAGAGCTCCCATGCCCCTCGTTGTAGTCACCTCGGCCTCTCCCTCCCCCTCTTCCTCTGCTGCCTCCTGCAGCTCCATACCCCTCAGCAGTTTTGTTGGCAGCACCACCTCCCGTGTGAAGCCTGCGGAAGTCCTCCTGCAGAATCTGCTGCCGTAGCCACTCAGGCGTCCACTTGTCCTGTTGAACGTTGAGGGTGGGGATGACGTTATCCCACGAGTTGTCGAGCACCGAGATGATCTTGGTGCATTGCTGCATCTGCGACACCTCGCTGCCCGCCGCTGCCATCCTCGCATATGTGTCCTTGATCTTGTCAAGGACCGGCTTCACATCATCTCCCGATCGCATGGAGATGGCCGCCAGCTCCTTCTCGAGCACGATCACCATGGGCAGCGTGTTGGGCTGACTCACGTTGCGCAGTAGCTTCCACGCCTTTGGACCGGAGTCGTCCAACTCAACCAAGTCCTTGATGTGCTGGAACATGTCGTTGTTGACCGATTGCAAGATGAGGTTGAACAACACCGCGCTCCGCTCAATCCACCGATCCCGAGAATTTCCTTAGGCATCTTCTCTTCTCCCATCGCAAGTTTCAGCAGCTTGTGGCGCTTGAAGACGCTCCTCATCCGCCCGCTCCATTCCTCGTAGTTGGAGCCATCCAACGCCTCAATCTTGGATGGTGGCGGCTCACTCCTCTTCTCAGCTGCTTCTCCACTCCCTTGACTCATTTCCTCTGCTCCCAATCACAGGTTTCAGCTCCCCCCTTAGCTGTCCACACCGAAGTCCCACAATATTTTCACAAGTGTCGGCGCCAACGAAATTTCGGCAGAGTTTCCCCTTAGCGGAAGTCACATCCAACCTCCAGAACTCCACTTAGGCACGCCCACAGGCCATGGTGGGTCTAGGAGGGTCTTCACACCTCAGTAGACTCTCCACAAAGTCCTTAATCAGCTCTGATACCACTTGTTAGAGACTATGGATGGAGTCTACGAAGATTAGGTGCCTAAATTTCTCAAAATCGTTGGCTTAGAATTCTGGACAGAAAAGTCGCGCTCACAAGAAATGCAGTCGACGAAAAGTTCACCGTCAAAACTTCATCAAGCTCAGATATGTTGTAGCTCTGGTCCATGGCTACAATTACCAATTCGAATCGTACGATAAGGTGAAGTATTTCTTGAGTTATGAAGTTCGGCGCACTTGGGGGTATGCTTCCACAGAAAACTTAACTCAATCACAAGAGTCTCACAATTTCACACAAGAAAGTTAGAGTAGCAATTAACCAGGTGGGAGGGGAGAGGAGGACGAGAAGGAAGGTCCCAAGAGAGTCCCCAAACAAGGAAACCTTATGCCACACAAATCCCCTCTCTATAGGTACCCAACTTGCACCCTTGTCATTTTCCCAACCTCCATAATCCACCTCATCCCAACTTGGCCACACTTGCCAACCTGGTTTGGCATCTCCCAACCACTTGGCAGCATCTACAGTGATGGGGACGAATTTCCCAGCCCCCAAAAGTCTGTACCCCATACTGAGTCACACCACAAGTTCCCAAAGTTGTCGCATCACAAACAAAACTTCGAACGATCGTAACTTTGTCGTTCTTGCTCCGATCGCAACGATTCTTGGTTCGTCTGAAAGCTCTTGAGCAGAGGAGTCACTTCATATATCTTCTCAAGCCAAATAACATTCACACACACTCTGAAAATCCAAACCACACCAAACACAAATTCTTGCATACGCTCACACCACGCATGCAACGCACGAACATATCATGGGAGGCAGACAGACGTGAATGCAAATGATGGCATCACATAACACGGCCCTAACAGGATCCTGCACCCGTAACCACGGAAGATCACCCCGCGCAGTACCAATGTAACGTACCCGGGGAACCCAGGCGAGCGTGGCCGACGCTGGTTTCGTTCGCCGACGCGAGGGGAGTCGTTATGAAGGGTAGCCTGCCGGGCCCAGGGATGGTGTATGACTCGCAGACGCGGAAGTGGGAAGCGCCGACGGCCGAGGAGAGGGAGTTGGCGATGGGACATAAGTGGGGAGCGACGGCTCACCCAGAGGTGACGGAAGTGCAGTGGAGGGTAGCGTTAGGGAGGGCCATGGACCTGAACGTAATGACGTGGATTTTGGAGACCATTCGGATGCACCTGAAGACCAAGGCGGTTCAGAGGGAACTGGA